GTGACTGGCGAATGAAGACCACCCTGTCGAGGCTTATGGCGGCACTGCAACCAGAAGAACGAAGACGGCGACAACAACAGCCCTTGTTTGCGCTGAACGCGAGTAAAATGCCGAGCGGGGAAAAGATTGAATCTTCATGCAAAGGAAGAAAAACGCTGGAAAGGCGGTCTCCTTTAATCTCTGCACCGTCGTCGTCGCTCGCACACAAACCGAGCGGCTGGGTCTCTTACCGACCCGATGCACCGAGCGAGCGGACGGCTTGAGCTTACTGACTGATTGTCTGACGAACGAAGAGATGTGAGGTCCGACGTACGAAACTGGCTCCGCTTAACACCGTAACACAATTAGACAAAAACTAAGAGGGCTCGGATGCAGCCCAGAGATAAGAGTCGAGTCGGGCACGGTTTCTAAACAGGCTGCTTGATGATACCGAAATAGACAAACGTGAGCATCGAACAGAACTTCTGCAGCTTACGCGATCTGATCCGGAAAGTTCCAGCTGTTCTTGTCCCGAATGATAATCTATATGCGGTCTGATGATGCGGTCGGCAGCCGCTCCGGTAGCACCGAGATTTTCTGAATTTTTGTATTCGAACTCGGACCTTTTACGGTCTGTCCCGGTTGGGAACTCTTAGAGGAGATCCGGGAGCTTGCTTGTGATATGCGAGAGCCTAGAAGCTTTCCCGCTCCTCATTCAGAATTTCGAAGCCTTTTGAGAGCTGAGCCGGGACATTCTGCACATGCACGGGAGTGCTACGGGGCGCTCGGGCCGTCGGAAACGGAAATTCCCCGGCGAAGAAGCGGTAAAAACCCATTGGAAGACTTGTGTAGCGCAGACGAGTGGTGTTAATCCTCTTTACGGTTAGAGGATCATTTTAAAGGATGCATGCTCGAACAATAAGCGTTGTCGCTGCTGTCGCCACCGACGAGATTATGTAGCCGCTGGAAATGGATCTCGAGGACATAATTCCAACGACACGATCTCGCTCGGAAGTTCCTGTGACGCCGTGACGGTCCCAATGTGTCGGGCAACGCAGACTACTGAGGTGATGAGCGATCGTTTGATAAACTGAAACCACGAGAGAATATGCTCAATCTTGTTCAAAGAGCTCGCTCCGAGTGTCCGATACGTACCCTCCGCTGGCATGGAGAATCGAACGGCGCACGTTGCTCGGATGAAACGTCAGAAGGATATACTGCGCATCGTCGACAGGCGTATATCGATGAATCGGATTGACCGCCAACAGCTCGTTTGTCCTCTTCGAGGAACAGCAGAACAATCTTCTCTCAATCAGTAGCCTAACGAGAGCCCAATATAACACATGAATCGTCAGGGGGAGAGATGTCCGCCTCGAAACGACTTATCTATCAGGGATCCATTTTCCTCAATCGGTTCGCGAAAGCCTGTGTTTTTCTCGCCGCGAGAAGAAAAAACCGAGTGAGCCTTCAAACACAACGGACATAGATAGAGATTCGCGGAAAAACGTCCACGCGGGAACGTTCCGTCCTCATATCCAGATGGACGCAGTCAATCAGCTGGAGAACTCGATTGCAGGTCGACGCATAGTCGGTACGCTGTCAAGGATGTTGAGAGATCGGAAAGCGAGCCGACTTTGAAAACTTCCGGTCAAGTCACAAGGTCTTGTCAAACACATTAGAGCTTCATGCTCAAGAGCTCATCGAGTGCTTTTAAAGGCAACTCTCTTCCGCTAAGGTTTGAGGCTCGCAGGCGAGCGGACGGAGGAGCCGTGGGTGCGTCGAGCGGAAGAGCGTCAACTGCATTAGGACACCCAGACTTCTATGGGAATAACGTGAGAGCTCCGTTCGCTTTGCGGTGAGCGCGATTACACCACTCCCGAGCGATAGATCGATCGCTCGATCGTCGCAAGCGCGGGCAAACGGACGTACGGCCGAACGAGCGAATGGATGTATCACCCTTATCTCGTTGTTCGGTTGTTGACTGTCTGTATCACTCCTATTTACCTCTTATAGCAATAACATTAGCGACTAGTGTCGGACCTTTCACGGATCCCTCATCGGTCGCTGCCGACGACGAACCTTGTGTTCAATTTATACAAGTGCTCGAAAGTATCACCGAGCAAGCACTCACTCCACTCAGTGTCGTCGTCAATGTTGTTCGAGTCGTTGATTGACTCGAATGCTTTTCCAGAGCCGGCTCCCAAAAGCGTCGCCCCATCGAAGCCTTCCTCCGTGGTTGCAGTGATCGATTATGATTGTGATAATGATGGAAATGGTCGATGACACCGACGTGTGTCGTGTCTTCGAAGTATACCGAGCCAAATCGACTCCGATAGTCTATCATGAGCCATTCCTTCTTGGGTGACGAATACGTATCTAGAAAGTCACTCGAATTATGTTGATGATGGTTTATGTCATGAATGTTCGATGCTATCCTTGGGACAAGGTCCAATCTGGTGATTGGAACTGCTTTCGTAGCGAGAAAGACTCGTAAGTTCCTCACTTAAGGGGTCCTTGCCTCGGTCAGCCGTCCTCCGTCATGGAATTGGAGCTGAGAAGTGGAGATTCAGCGATGTCTCTGCCACAAAACGTCGAACACTCTCTACTGGTGACGGAGTATTTCGGGACGTTTCAAACTGCTCGACACAACTCGCGTCGAGGCATGCAATAAACTGCTTTGGTAACCATTCACGGAAAACTCGCTGCTCGGGGGTCCCCTAGTTCCGGAATTCTTTGATCCGCATTCTTTCCGCGGGATACGCAATCGTCAACATTCGGAGTAAGGTCTGCGTGCGTGGACTGTGGACTGGATCAGCGACGGATTCTTCTGAAGAGTTCTTCGTATAGGAAAATAGTCGGAAAAACTCATCACTCGCTCATGAGCAAAATCGGGAATTTCGGGGCTCCGTCACAGGAATCTCTCGGGCCAAGGAGCTGACTATGCTTATATTCTGTGAACATTTCGTCGTGAGCCTCTCGAGAGACGTTTCAAGGAGCTCGAACGGCTGCACCTCTTCGAGTCGCCTGTCTCGATCGTTGCTATCACATTAAGTCTCTAAATGGAAAAGTGCGGTTTGTGTGTCCGTGCGTGTGAGCATGATGACGACGTGTACAAGGTCCCGTGAGACGTGTGAGCAAGATTCCAAGTGGAGCTGCAAGCAACCCTTTCGTTGTTCGAACGATTCTTCCGGACCGCCTCGTTCACTCCTTCGAGCCCCCTACAGAACCGAGGACTCCTTTCGGCCAGTCGTGAGAGCGCCCGATATAATAATAAGATATTTGCCTTCCCAGCAAACTGAAGTCGCCTCCCGTGGACTTGTTGCTGGCTTGTCGGGAACGAGTTGAAATCTTTTCCGGAAACGTATTCACGACAGATTCGGCTGAGTGCGGCTCCCAAACGCTGTTTTGACAATTGTGAGGGGGTGGACAGCTACGTCGATGGTTTAGTTGCTCTTGTTGTCGTTGCCGTCATTGTACAGTGTGGTTCCGCATTTGTGATTTCTGATGATAACGCTCAGCAGCGTCAGTGTCCGAGAGAGTGGAGCGGGCAATTTTCGAAAGCACTTTGTGCCGCTTCTGTCGCCCCGACTCCCCGGCCGTTATCTCCCCGTCGTCGCGGCCGCTGACCGCCATGAGCGTCCGCTCGTTCGTTGTAACGAACTCCACGCTCGCAGTCGGCGTGGTTTCAGCCGTTGTCCATGTCGAATAGCTGCCGGAACATTGTCAGTGCTACCGAGCGACTGACTGAGTTGACGGCCATCTCCATGATTAGCATGAGGGATCAAACGATTCCACGAACAGAGAGCAAGGCTGAATGCCGATGTTGGACAAATGACGAACAAGCGGCCCTTGTACTTGGATTGTCCGCGGCTAGCGCTCAGGGAGCGTGTTGTCGACGAGCCTCATATCTCGCCCGGTAAAAGCTCCTCTTGCAGATAAAAAAACTTCGAGTGCTCGGCTGTACGAGAAATTACGGGAGAGAATTCGATAAGGACGACACGAAGCTGCTCCTTAAAGCGTAGACATTCCCGATAACTCGAACAACATCGAATGACACTCACACGCTCGGCGGACTTACGCATTAGAGTCAATCATCAGTAGGATACACCTCTCGATATTGGACGCTTTCCGAGAGTAGCGATGAAATGTCGAAATTCGAATTGGATTGACCTCCCCGGATTTCATTCGCCCGCACCACGCTCTTAATCCGGGCGTCAAAAGCTGGTATCCGGTCCGGTTTGACAAGAAAAAATATTCCGCCGTGTGAGCCTCCGCGTTTGGAGTGTCGATGGGAATCTGTAGTTCTGTTTCCCTGACTGCCAATTCACCCGTTAGCTAATTGCGCGAATTATTATCGATCGGGTCGCGCAACCCTCGGAGATGCGTGGCCCAGCTGTGAGAGACCGGTTGGTTGTGTGATTTTCTCCTCCGCCTGACATCTTGTTCCCTGCAGCATCCCAGGAACGGGGTCTCGGGAGAGCGGGTGAAGACGGAGACTGACTCGGGTGAGACGGCGGCGACTAGGAGGAAAGTCCGGTTAACCTCTTGGGAAGGGATTAAGTTCTCACTTGCTGGCTTCCTCGCTCACCGGCTCCCCGTCGATGTGCTCGGCGAGCTCAGAGGCATCGGGGGTGTTGCCTTCGCTACCACCGGGAGGATTTTCCTCTACGCAAACGCCTATCGAAGGCGATGACAAGGCTTCCCCGTTTGGTTACAGAGCGGAGCCAAACGATTCAAGTCGAGAAGACGATACTGTTCGAGGGCAGTTACGAAGCTCGCTCGGCTGCGAACCCCGGTGCTCTATCGTCAGCTGAAACAAACAGCGGTGAGCCCAGGTTAATAAAATCGGCAGAACCGGCTCCGGTGTGGGATGAAGGTTTCCGGGAAGATCCATTTGAAGCTTGACTGTCAGTTCCAGTTGCGTTTTTGGTTCCCGAGGGGGGAAACTCGCGGTACGGGGGGGAATTCACTCAATCCGAGTCATCTGAGTGTTCGAGACTAACGAATGCATTTTCTCGAAGCATTCCAGGATCGGAGCACCGGGACGGCCTTCTCCACTTGTAATGTCGACCATGTCTCCACCCGTAGTGAAAATGGAAGCTTTAGGAGAACCACAGGGACCATCGAGCCCGCCATCGCCGTCGGGACATCTTTCCGATTGTACGCCCCTCACTCATCCAGTTAGCGGACAGCCAATTTGTACATGCGTTGTGAGAAGGTACGACTGTACGAAATCGCTCTATCGAGTAGCCTTTAAGCCAGACCGCCTCCGGCAACCGACCGATAGTGACTGACTGAATTTCGAACTTCGCGCAGATTATCGTCAGCCGCGATACCGAACGCTTTTTCGGGTGCACCTTCAACCCCATCGGTCTCCGCATCGTCATCCACGTCATCGAGAAGCTCACCCACGACGGCCGCTGCGGCTCAGATTCCTAACCACATGCTCATGGATCCTCATCAGTTTGCGCTTCTGCAACAGGTAAGTTCTTCGCTCTTTTCGTCGACTTATCGTCGGTATGCTCCTCGCTCATCAGAGACAGTTCTGAGCAATAGTATTCGTCGACGGTAGTCATCGATCCCGAGTCAGTTGCCTCGACGCATACCCGGCCCAAGAAGCAATATACGAGAGCTCGAACAACATGGAAAAGATACGGTGCCACAGGAGAGACTTTGTTTTCGTTACTTGAGCACTTTGTGGCCTAACGGTGCAGGCCGGTAGCAGGCGGCACAAGCCAGAGTTAGATGTCCCAGAGGCTCAGTGCGCGAAGCAGGGGGAGGCCTCTCCTATCACCTTAGCGAAACGACTGATGACAGTGCTTTCAATAAACACTTCCATTTGAGAGGAACCATCTGTTTTTACGTCGATCGCTTCGAGCAGTTCATAAAGCGCTACGAAAACAAGGGTGAAAAACGATACAATAAGGAGCTTCCACCTCCTGCTCTCACTTTTCCTCTGGGGAGAGGTTTTTTTTCCACCCTCCCGAATATCATAAATTACGTCTCGAACAAAATCGAAGCCTCGAATCGCCATCCTGTCTCATCGATAATCCACTTGCTCACTAGTGGTTCGTCGTGCGTCGTCTGGAGATTAGAGCTTCCTGCCGCAACCGACCAGGATGGCTCTCACGCGGGGAGTGCGAACTAGCGAAAGTTCACCGTCGGTGGCCGTTCCCATCAGTCGACGCAGAATTGGTGGCGCTGCCCACTGCGCCAGCAACAGAAAATTAATTCTGCTCAGCTGTTGAAAATTATAGGCTCTCTAGCGTAACACCTTTTAGCGAACGAGCGAGCGAGCGAATATTGCGGTAGAACACGAACGTCCCACTTTTGGCACCAAGTTTGACGGCGCTTTTCCCGAGCTACGGCTGTTGCTGTTGTTTTAGAATTTGCTCGACTCTATGCTACGGCATCGAGAAAGCTCCGGGAACAGAACTAAGGGTCATCCGTGCACGGTTTGAGCAGACAGGCTGAGAGATGGACGACGGGACGAACGGACCACCGGCAGAGATCTCGTATCTTGCTCGAAAAGAATAACTACTACATGCTCGGGCGTTCTTTGTATAGCCACATCGACCGAATGGGTCTTTCTTGAACTACATTCGGTGTAATTAACACGTTCTAGACAAAACGAGCAACTACTTGTTTTGGTTGTTGAAGACAACGGGGGAGAAACAGAGTGATCGAGATATTTCGAGTGTACATGTAAAGCCCGAGCAATTTATGGGATGACCTTTAAACCACGCGCTGTCAAGTGGTGATTCGATAGGGAACTCTTGAAACAATAAACCACCAACAGCATCGGCGGCGGTAGTAGCAGCAGCAGCAGCTTTTCTAGCTTGTATCTCCGACTGGTAGAAGAAAAGGCGCATTCCGATGTCTTGTGCCGCGAACTTCCGATGGCCACGATGGTTTATAATTGCCATCATCGAAATTCGGAGGGAGACTCGATACGAGTCGACCGATTGGGAACGGTTTCCTCGTGCGATGGGTGAACGACGAAGATTTTTTTCGTGGCAGTGAATAAAGTCGCATTGAAGATCGACGCTCCGTCGCCACCCTCAGAGCGAATCGAGAGTTGCCCGACCGGTTGAGAGTTTGAGCTTCGAGCTCTGCTAGTGCGTTGTCTAGACGCAGTTTCCCTCGCTTTGCGTGGAGAAATTCGTAACACGAAAAAAGTCTGTCCCGTCTTCTACTCAGCTCGAGTGTCACGCAGTCCGCTGTCGGCGACGAAACGAAAAACCATCTCGGATCGAGCATTCGGCAGCTGGTGTCTGTCCAAGTGCAAGTGACGCGAGAGCTACAACATGTCAGAGCAACGTGCGACAAGACAGGGAGGGACTACAGCTGTAGAACAAGGAACATGGCAAGAGACAAGCCGGAGAGATCCCGTTTTTGTGTCAGATCGTGTTGGTTGGTCGAACTCCCGCTTGCCCTCTTGCTGGGCCTCCAGTCAACCCCTCGGTGTCTCTCTTGTTCGGTTGGAGGAACATCCCCCCTCCGCTGGGTAGGCGTCGCTTCTCAAATCACTTGATGCCGTTTGACTTTGACCAAAAAATCGTTTCCCAGACGCCAATGCTGCGAGTGAAATCTCAGAAACTTCAGATCGATGGCTTCTGTTTTCGGTCCAGAGTCTGAGGTTCTTGTGCGGAAAGGAAGTTGCGGACCCGTCGACTCTCCTGGTTCAAGGGAATAGCGACGAATTCATTTATTCATCTATAAGAGGAGAATCGAAGTGAATTTCGAGAGCTGAATAGGGCAGTCGAGAAGTTCTCATCGATTCATTGAGAATTCATCAGTCAACATGATGAAGAAGAGGGAGAGCGAGAATTCTGAGCGTGTCGAAGAATGTTCGAGATGGGATGGCGCTCCCTCAACAGAAATCTCCGGCTCCTAAGTCAGCTCTGATAGGGCACCTATACATCGGTCAGCTTGATGACTCCCGACCGCTCCACTGGCGCCCGTCATTCCGGACAAAAACGTCCATCGTTCTGATGTTGACAAAAATATCACGTCTTGTCGCCAGACGCATACAGATGAAAGTTTGGACGGATCAAACTCCTCAAAAAACTAACATCGAGTCGTCTCGAACGAATGTCGCCTGTAGGCGAACCGCCAGAAAAAGCTCCGTCTCGCTTTTTACCCGAATGGGCGCCCATGATATCTCGCAACGATGTCCGCGTTCCGAAGCTCGTTGAAACCAGATCCATCGTGGAAACTTCCGTGGAGGGAACGTTTCTCCGGGAGAAGTTTCCTCATTTTCTGAGGATACCTCAATGACCGTAGGATGCTAGCGATTGAAGGCACACGAGACACGTGACCGATTCTCAGTTCTTGTTGAAAACACGATGAGCGATTGATACAAATCGGAGGTGTAATTTTTTCCAGGCGTCGCTCCACAACTCCAGTCCAACGACGCTGCCCACGGGATCAACAAGTTTAAACCCAAAAGAAAATCTCGAAGCCTGGCGACACCTATCACCCGCGGCGGCTGCGGCATATGCGCAAATGTACTCAGGGACGACTTATCCTGGGTACGATCCCGGCAACGGGGGCGTCCTCTCGGGATACCCTTTCTCAGGGTAAGTCGATGTCGATTCTGGCCTTAATCCCTTTCCGGGGTTATCCGGGCCGTTTTTTCGGAATCTTTCCCCTTCTGTCATTTTCACCGACGGACCCAATCACTCATGGATTCGATCTTGACCTGCTTTCGAGGAATGAAATTTCTCACCCGTTGTCGAGCCCGAGCGAAGTTTCGTCCTCGCCTCATGAATTGTCCCCATAGCAGAAATGTCTTCCGGGAGAATATAATGTCGCCGCCGATGGACTCCGAGAGCTATCGCTGGGGTGTGACTCGGTGCAAGCTTGCGCTAAGCACCCCTGACCCATCGAGATTGCCACCGATCAAAACTCCCGTTCTGGGTAACCGCTGCCCTCCCTTCCCGCCCGCTCTCGCGATCTCACTCATTTGTGAATGGAAGCATGAATCAACGAATAAATGTATGAATGATCGTCGTCGCGAGCGCACCGAGCCACTCGCGGAATCTGAGCGCGGCTTGCATCGAGCAGCCTCTCAGTCGGTCTCTCCACCATGATCCCCATCCATCGGGAGCCGTGTGCATTTCCGCGGGCAGGTGGATTTATCACAATTAATACTCGAGTCACAGTGGAGGGAAGTGCGTTTTTCTCGCTCCGATGTGGCAACATGCCGGCATCCGAACTAAGTTTCGGAGCACACCAGATGAAAAATGAAAGCCATTGCAAGTTGCGAATGGCTGCCTAATGAGAGCCGCCGGGCATCTTGATAGCTGTGGTGTTGTTATTGATAAACGAGGAATCTTGAACAATGCCGAAGAGTCTCCTCGGGTTCTCAAAGCATCAGAGCAGGCGGAGATTCCGCGCTTTCGGATGCTGTATCATCATGATTGACGGATGGGGCTTTCCAGGTTGGCGAGCATGGACCTCAACGGAGCACGACGGAAAAACGCGACGCGAGAAACAACGAGTACTTTGAAAGCATGGCTAAACGAGCATCGCAAGAATCCATATCCAACCAAAGGAGAGAAGATCATGCTGGCCATCATCACTCGGATGACTTTGACTCAGGTAAAATAAATATTCCGCTCTCTGGGATCCAGAGGGACTAGGATTAGCGCTCCCACGCATGTATGCGAGGGAGAATGAATTTTCGTTCTTCCGAAAGAGCCTTCTGCGACTTCCATCCGAGTTGGAAATCGCGGAAAAGTCGGTGCTCGAGGTGGTGGTGCGAAACATCGGTATTGATAATATCGATTCACGACTTCACTGAGTGAGCAGGGTGTTTTTCACACCCTGCTCGCCGCCGGTCAGTGAATGGCGAGCGACACGCATTTGAGACGATTCGACTTCCGTGGCTTCCGTGCCAATATCGTTCTAACGATGTTCTGTCCAGTAGCTCGCAAGCCAGGTATCGGCTCATTGGCGATGAGCTGAGCCGAGCCAGCGAACGGAACACCCAAATTGGGCTTGTCCCTCCCTGATATCGCTCAGTGGCAGACGGCGTAACAATCAACGAAACTCCCGTTCAAGTCTTGGCGGAGCGTTTTCCCTAGCGTTGTTATCACTTTTTCTTTCGTTCCCCCAACCGTCCCCTATCGGTGGACTACTTCTCTGCGGCTGACTTCCGTTCGGTGGTTCATCCTTCTGGAAACAAGCTCACAAGGAGCATCTAAGGCTGATTTCGATGAGTCGAGTTTGCGTTCCGAGAGTACTGACGCTCGAAGTCTTCCTGAATTCATCTCGTGAGAACCTCGTCAGAATCAGCAAGGATATTGGGATCTCGTTGATGAATTTCGTCGCGGTCTCTGAGCGCTCGAAGATACGAAAAGCGGAGAACGTCGCTCTTTGATCTCAATTCTGTTTCCCGTTCCTCGGTGGATCTCGGATCGGTTCGGATCCAATGTCGTCTCGGAAAGCTCTCCCGTCGTCAATGTTCCCTTCATAGAATTAACAATATAACAAATGGAGAATCCGAGAGGAATGGCGGAACATCATCATCGTGTGGTCAGGAAATGCGATCGCTTCGACCGCGAGTTGTTCTCCGAGCTCATTCGGTCTATATATTCGCTGCGGCGGTCGTTGGTATCGGTCGTGCAATGATAAATATGGTTGCTTGTTTTCCCCAAACAATTGTCTCGAATCGAAATCGTTCAAACTATTGCACGAGAGAGCTTGTACTACACGCCAGACATGAGATTGCACTTCCGCCCCGACCCAACGAAACGAGCATCGGTCTTTCGAAGTCTATGTTGTTGGTAGATCGGAGGCGGCCCGGATCCGATTCGTAACGAGTCGAATGAGAAAGCAAGCGGCACAAGCACTCGCTCCAAACGATGGAATAATTGTTGTCCGCGGTGTCGCTATCTGGCCATTGCACTTGTTTGGCCCGTGTAGCTCTCGAGTGCAAACGAACTAGAATTTTTTGCTAATGGAGCAACTTCGCTATTCGAATGAGACTTGTTCCTCGACCTGAACTCGGACGCGGCCATGTAGCGAGCCACGCTGTAAATGGCCTCAGCGAGGAGACTCCCGCGAAACAAAACTTTAATGAACTTTCGAGGCGAGGCATCGATTCCGACGCTGGGGAACGAACCCGACGTCCTAGTCGAGGGCGTGAGGCTTAGGAATTCCGAGGTAAAAATGATGTCTCTTGGTCTACCCAGGTATCCACTTGGTTCGCGAACGCCCGCAGAAGACTGAAAAAAGAGAACAAGATGACGTGGTCTCCGCGGACTCGTGGGGACGACGACGACATGGACGACGACGACATGGACGATAAGGACGAGAAAGAGGACCTCAGAAATTCCCAGCAAGCGAATCAGAACAGGTACTATACAATTCGAAGATTGATGAGAAAGGAAAACTCGGAGAATCTTCGAGTGGGAATCTGGACCCGGTATGCCCCTGGAAGTCAATCGGTTTATTCTCCCCTATGATGTGTGCTGGACGATTCGCTCGATTTCAGGGCTGCACTCCTGGCGGCGGATGAAATGGCGAGACGAAACGAACAACTGTCTCAGCTCATGGCTTCGGGATTGCCTCCGCCACCCGCGCTCATCAACATGGAATCGTTGACGGGCAACACGATGACCCCTGAGAACATGGCTCACATACATTCCTTGCTGCAGTTCCAGACGTCTCAACGACAGCAGCGGAGGGCTGACGAAGGTGAGCAGAAAAAAAAATCCTCGTAAGGACAGAGAACCTAGGGTGGCGAGCCTTATCCTTGGGAGACGAAGCGTGGTACTCTGACATCGAATCGCGATCTCATGTCGGTGACGGATCGCACACTCGTGCGTAGCTGCTTATTCAATCAGGAAAAGAACAACCACTGCGACGCGCCCTATCCTCGCGGTCCATAGCCAGTGATAGATAGAGAAAGTGACGGGGCCGCTTTGACGACAATGCGAGAGGTGGCGATGAATGCAAATGTTTCGCCAAGAAGAGCAAGATATAGACGGGCTCGGCCGTCCAACTTATGCCGTGAAATATCCTCAGTCCTCGAGAAGTCACTTAGTATCAGATGACAGAGGGGAGCAGCTGCGACCAGCGTCTCCGACCGGGCGCCTGCCTTCCCGCCTGCCTGCCCGCCCGCCGTCGCTGCTACAGATGCCGCTGTGTGTGATCCAGTTCATAAATAAACCTTAGCTCTCGAAGTGGACGTTTGGGACATCGTTTTGGGCAAAAGCCGAAAAGGGAGCTTGCATACAAAAGCACCACAGGCTGACCACGGACCGATGCAAGTCGACACACAAAAGTCAGATATCGCAACCCGCAGCGGGAAAACGTTGATTCAGGCTCGGTCAAGTTCCAACTGAAGCGAGTTCGATTCAATGAATATTCATTGAATGCATGAATCCCGCTGCCTCGAATGGCATGGTCTGCGTAGTAGACGGTCGAGTTGCTAGCGTGTTCTGCACGGTGTGTGCAGACGCGCGTGGTCCCCCACAAGATCGCCAGATCGATCTGCGCCGCCGGCAAGCATTCAGGCCCCGGATTCGATCCCCAAGGATACGTACTTGTATTTCCGGATACTATCAATGCTTTGGAGAGAGAAGCTGTTCGATGATGAGCACCGACTTGGAGTTTGTCTCTGAGCGCAGCCGAGGTTGGGCGGCGGTAAAAAATCTTCGAAGATGGACTCGAGTTCCTCACAGGTCACCGATTTGTGTGCCTTTAAGGTTTTCTCGCTGAGGAGTGCGGAAAGAGAAAGAATTAGAGGGGAGGTTTAGAGATTTTTGCGCGAGGATCGAATTTGGAATTGATTCCGACTTTGCCAACCTGATTTGTACATTTCCGAAACCATCCTTGTACCGTTCTGAAAGAACTGATCTGACGGACGGGATGCGGACCATACGCACTTTATGTCTGGCTCTATCAGAGTCTCCTCGGGCTGCTCTCACTAGGGAGATGAGTGGTATAATAATGCTTGCGGGGGCAAATGTCGATGGTGCCACCCCCCATCCGGTCGGTCATGAGGCGAGGAGGGCGCTGGCATCAGAGCAGGCTCGCTTACTCGCCCGCCCCGTTGGCGAGCTCCCCGCGAGAGAAGGATGCTCGGCTGGTTGATTCTCGATGGCTTACTCGCTGCTAGGATTGCTCTCGCTGGCAAGGAATATAAATAAATAGTCGTTTTATCGAAGTGGACGAGCGGGCGAAGGAGCAGGTAGGCTGACCGGAGGGGCTCTCTCCTCGCCAAACTAAAGGCAACCTGTAAGATGGGTTATTGCTGCTCCAGTAGCAGCTTGTCAAGTATGTGGTATTTGTCTGCTACCACATGCTTTGTCCGCTCATTTCGAATATCTCCCTGAAGCACTTCGGGACGGGGCGGCTCGGTCGGATCTGGCCTGGCTCTTGTCGGACGCGATCCGATCTAATTAGTATAGCCTAATACATACGATGTTCATTTGTTACAGAAGTTAGTGTGGACGACGACGATGACGGTGGTGGAGGCGGCGGAAACAACATCAAGAACAACAATAACGGTGACGAGAACGAAGAGGCTACGAGCAAGAGGAAAACGAGCAGGACATCGGTCACTCCTCCGCCTGCGAGTCCCGGAGCCCGACCCAAAATCTGGAGCATTGTGGACACAGCGACGACCGAAGCCGCGGCAGCACGATCCCCATCGTCGGATTCACCTTCGTCCAGTCCGCGGCCACCGGCAGCACTTACCGCCGAGCAATTATTGATGGCATCACGACTTTACGGACACCAACAAGCTGCCGCATTTCAGAAGCAATGGTATCAAGCTTTCGCTCAAAACGCCCTGCGAAGATCGGCGTCTCCCCAAAACGCATCATCACCTTCACCATGAATTCATGTGATTTTCACTGTTTGTCCTGAATCGATAGCTTTCTATTTTCCTATTCTAAGACAAACAGACGAATAGCTGTACGGATCTGTCACGTAAGCAGACTGGCAAACAGACGAATAAGTAATTAAATGGAGAAATAAATAAATAAATAAGTAAATAAATGAATGAATGAATAAATGAATCAATATAGAATAACAAACACGAACAAGCAACAAAGTCGACTGTACAAAAGCGTGACTGACTACGTACTCGGGGCTTATCTAAGGTGGGTCACGGCAAGCTCATCGAGCCATTTCCGGGATAGATGATCACATCGGTATGCTGTCGAGAAGTTGGGTGCGATCCTTTTGGCAGAAGTTTCCCCCGAAAGACGGGAGGGGGGGGGGGTGGAATAAATCCCGCGGAAAGCCATTCCCGTCAGAACGTCGCCGTGCTCACGTTTTCGCGTGCATCACTCAGCAGTATTCCCGACATGGGATGTCAGTGTATCGTTCTGGTTTCGGCAACTCCAACGATATTTATCTGTTAGCGACTCCTCAGGATAGGTCGGAATCTCTGGCTACCTGCAGCATCTGGAGAGATTGATCTGAATCTTCTGTTTGGGTAATTGTGGAGGTATGATAAGAGTCCTCCGAAGACTCCAATATTGAGCGGACTCCCTCGCTATGAGAGAACGCTAAGCGATCGCGAGCGTTCGCCGGGTGAGAATTTTCGAGAGAGAGAAGTTTCGGAGAAATCAAAGCCATGACGATGTGAATAAATGTGTGTTCTTGTTCAATTTGCAGCTACCCGAGTTTTCCGTGCGCGTCTCAGTTATCGTTCGGTGCAACTTCCCGACAACAAGTCGAGGCATTTCCCATTCTGTGGCTCGGGAAGGCACGGAAGAGAACTTTTCAGATGTCTTAGACTTCGATAAGATCGTGAAACGGAAAGGATTAAAATCTGGGGTTTCCCTTCCCGAGCTGGAAGCAGTATTCTCCCAAGGTTGAGAATTTTCGCCTTGTCTGTAGTTTTGGGCGACTGCGTGAGCCGGGCACAGAGAGCAACACCGTGCAGAGCTTCATCCGAGACTCAGAGCAAATAGAAGTATCAGTGGATGGAGATGCTTCCATTGGTAAGCGATTCATGTCATCAGCTTCAACAAGTTCCTCTCTCCCGTTCACACTGATACGACTTCATACGAGGACTGAGCGAAGCATGAAAATCCCCACCGTAGTTCAGCAATTACTGGCGTCGAAGCAGTGATCCGTCATCGCGAACACCCATGGAGACGTTTCATACGTACGGGGCTTTAGCGTGCTGTCCGCTCAAATTGGGCATCGAATCTTCAGCCCACTGAGAGCTTCTGGGTGGTGCCAAAGCCGCCATTCAGGCGAGTAAAAGTGAGTTCATCCTTCTCAGCCGATTTCGGTGATCTTCGCCATTCGCAATCCAGCACACGTCCAAAGTCCCAAGTAAAAGCTCCCCGGACAAGACAGACCGCGAACGAGCATCCGGGAGTTTCCGGTGGAGATTCCGGATCGAAGCGATCCCGAACATCACATCGATGGGTTCCCGCAACTTCTGGCGGACCCGCCGGTTGACGGCCGGCGATCAGCGTCAGAATCGACTCGCGCGAACAGCGCTAGCGCGAGGCCCGCAACGAGGAGTCGTCAGGCACAGAATCAACAATGACGGGACGCAGCGAGTTTAATCTCCCCACTTTTTTGTCCAGTTCCATTCGGCGAGTTATTCTGCAGAACAAACAGACAGAAACATTAATTCATGTTAGTAAGTAATTACCATATAATTTATATAGCCATTAAGTTACAAATCATGTCTCTCGCTCGAGCAGGCAAGGAAGCAGACGGACGAGAAGCGAAGTCGACTGCGGCGCATGCATTAGCCGGCTATCCAATTGTTGTTGTCGTCGCCGCCGCCGCGCCGCCGTCGTAGTCGTCGTCGGCTTCTGTTCTTGGTCACATCCTGAGACTGCTTGCTGGTAGCTTAGCTTTCCATGTTCGTGTTTGTAATTTGTACTTCTTCTTTGCTACTTGATGAGCGTCTTCCTCGCTCGGCATGTCTGTCTTTTGTTGCTACGTTTTCTTTCTAATGCCGAGCGGTGGCGGCTACGCAATGCACATTCGGCGAAAATTAAGAGCGTCTTGTGACTACGTTGGCGGCTTCGTACGTGTGGCTTCGAAGAGGCGGGGAACGTTGTTTTCGAGTCTGCTCTAACTGCATTTGAGAACCACAAGCGGACCCCAAGCCGTAATCAGCATCGTTGGCGTCGTTCCTTCAGAGTCATCGTTCTCGCGGAAATGTAAATCGTCGTCTCCATCGGTCATCCCTGGCCCCAGCGCTTCCGAAAGCGGCAACAGCAATGCCAGCGGTCGAAGGTGAAGAGGAAAGTTTTTTTCAGAAGCTCCTAACCGCGAGTCTCCGACGAGATTGTTCGTCTTACGACTTCCGCCGGCGAGGATTGTGACGAGCTCCTAGAAATGTTTGACTCCTAGGCCCTATTGGAATTGTACGCCTGGTCGGCGATCGGGAAACCAAACCCGAACCTCTCTGCTTTTGATTTTGACAGGTCTAGATCAGGAGGTCCGGTGAAACCATGACGGGCTCCGTCGCGTTCGAGAAGGTCCGGCGGTCTCGGATTATCTCCCCTCGTCCCAAAACTACTCGTTTCGTCACGAGTCCGGGACGTCATGCGAACGAGTCGGTGAGTGTCAACGTCGATGACGTGCCGCCCTTTCGTCAACAAACGATGCATACAATAAACACTTGACACTTTGTTGTGTCTCAGCCCTCATAGACGCAAAAACACAAATGCACATGGACACGCAGACACTTAGCAGATAAGAGGGGGAACTTCTGCCGGAGCTCGTTTTGGTCCGTTGTTTGAACGCACGGCGAGTGAGCGAAACGAAGAAGAAACAGGCGGCGCTCCACTGACTCTGCTCGGGGTCACGGAACCAGCAGCCGACATTGCGCTTAGCTATCCGTATGATAACGGTTGTTAGTGAGTATCGGACTCCGCTCTTCTCGGAGTCGACAACCCAAATCAGATGTCAACGGGCATCAGTTATCGATTGAGCACTCCGCAGAGATTCAAATAATGATCGCAGGCAGCTTAATTCGCCGGTCGAGCTCCCCGCTTGCGTACGGGCGATCTGAGCTCGAAGTTCTCTCGGGCTTCGTCCCGACAGAATTATCCCTCGATCAGAAATGAAAACCGTTTCAAAAAAACTCAAACCAGCTGAATTCGGTCACTCGGTCGACTCCGTGAGGGGTACTCACTCGATGTTTTTTGTTTCCGGCGCTTTTCAGCACCAAATGCGATGCTCGCCTCCTTACTGGGGGAAATCGGTATGCGGGCTCCATGAGGCGGACGACAGCAAACAGATCGTGTGACACCCGTGGTACAAGTCTGATTGCGTGTCCAACAATCACGCAACGCGCACCAACGATGGTGGCGCTGCCGCAGCCTCGGTGTGCTCACGAAGGCAACAGCGTTCCTTATCAACCACAGCGCTTAGTTGGAAAGTTAGAATCTCAATTCGACGAGTCACCGACAGATTGGCCGGTCATTATCCAGATGAGCATCGAGGACTCGTTCAGAGATCCGAGAAGGCGAGCTTTCACCCTACTGCCAGCATTTGTCGCTTCTGTCGAGGAGCTGAAGTCGAAAGCGCTCTGACGGAACAGATTTGAGCCTAATTCACATGGAATTTGCATCAAGTCGCTGCTCGCGATTGATCTGCATGAAACGCATGACGATGAGTGTGCGGGTGGGAGTTCGTGAGCGCGAGGATTGCCTCACTGTGCCAACAGAGCATTGGAGACGAGCTTGTGTAGCAATCGCTCAGCAGAAATACAAAGCGTTTCCGCTTCGTGTTCACAGCCCACAACGATGGGCGGCACCCGTCGAACAGATGTGAAATTACTTACAAACAACACACACACACACACGTATACACAAACGAGGGAAACAGATACTCGACAGGGAATCGTTACGGCGCTGACTCGGACCGAATGTTTTCTTTAGTAATTGCTGCGTAGAGCCGAATTCGAACCGACGTTTGAGTATTCGGCAACAATTACGTCTCTCCGTGGTTCACGGGTGGTAACGCCGTCGAAGGGGAGGGAAAGTCAACGAGCGTTCGAAGAGAAATTCTTCCGAACCAGAGTTTGGGAACGGCGGGGAAAATTCCGTTCGAGCATCGATCCAACTAAAGGAGCATTTTCTGCTCGTTAGCAGGTAGTTTCTCGAATGAATTTCGAAGAGCTCCTTAGGATTTTCCCCTGCGCTTCCGTTAGTGAAAAGCAGCTGTCGGCCGGCGATTAGACTTTTTGAGGCGGCCGCCGTCGAGACGCAGCGGCGGTGGCGGCGCTCATGGCGGCGGCGAAATCATCAGAAATAGCAGAAAAGTCGACGAGTAACGTTGTTACGGACATGCTACGTGATATTGTGACGACACAGACGAGCTCACAGCGGCGGACGGGAAGACAGAGCCAACTCCCAGCGAGTGAACGAGCATTGCTCATGAAAACTAGGGGATAATGAATGTTGTTCTTTCAACTTTATCTCGAGTCTTATATCGTCTCGTCTTGGAAAACCCGGAGAGCTCATCTTCTCCACGCCGTATCCTGGAAAGCGTGGATACTACTGAGTCGTCATGTTTGCATTGTTGATCTTTCTCCGACAGAAATTAAACAAAAAGAAGAAACGAAAAGGAGGAAGAAGAAAACAACATCCGAAAGAAGAAGGCTTTTGGCCGAAAGCAAGCATTGTCCCTCGCTCGTAGCTAAATTAGTTCTTCTCGGTTGCCTGCTCGCATGCACCGCGGAACGTAATGGCTTCGATGAGTAACGTAGAACGAGTCCAAATTCAGACTCGACTCGCTGGAAAAGTAGTCGAGGGTCCCGGGAGTTTTGAACGCACGATCTCCCGCTCAATCATGGTATTCTTCTCGATGACTTAATCCCAGGAATGAGAAAAATACCAGGCTCCCTCTTCCTCTCGAGTCCCATTCAAAGTCCCCCGTAGCCGTCACGATTTGCATGCTCAACCGATCCGGGACTCGGGAAACGGGGGGACTCGCTGAATGAGTAGCGAATAAGGTCCGACAAAACAAAGACAATAACTCTGACAAACAGGGTGCAGTAGAAAAAAAAACACTGTGGTCGACAAGTATTCAAACAGTCAAAAAAGGCGGACAAA